TCTCTCTCTCTCTCTCTCTCTCTCTCTCTCTCTCTCTCTCTCTCTCTCCCCCCCCTCTCCCTTTTGCGCGCACTGATCATTCACCCACCACCACCACTACCACCAGACACGGCACAACACGACGGCGACGACGGCGACGACGATGACAACGACGATGACAACGACGATGACAACGACGACGACGACGACGACGTGGACGATCGCGAGGTCGGTGGCGGACTGACGCAGGGCAACGCGCGAGACACCGTCGACGACGAATCGAGTCGCTCTGATGAGGAGATCCTGGCGGACTGTCAGGCTGGCTGGCGAGGAGGTGGCGGGTGAAACGCGAGGGTTGCCAATGGAGAAAGAGAGATAGAGAGAGGGAGAAAGAGAAGTCGAGAGCGGTGGAGCGGGCGTTCAAGAGGGGAGGAAGGGACGTCGGCGTCGGCGTCGGCGTCGGTTCTTCGCCGAGGGCGTGGTCCTGGTGACGAGCGTGTTGTACCGGACTACAGAGCTAGAGACGGAGCAAGCGTTGGTCCAGATGCTGCTGATACTAGCTAGCGGTTGCTGGTACCGACGAGACCGATTCACGAAGGTGTAACGACTCCGAAAATCCTCTACAGGAAACGTTTGAAAATTTTGAACTTCAATGTTTGCACCGAATCGATATGTAACTCGCGATTACATCATTGTTAAATTTATCGCAAAATTTAAAACGAGAGATGCATCCTGCACGCAATACATTGCACAATCGAGACTCTTCTCTCTTTGGAATTTACAGTACTCTGACATATTCTGTCGATATTATGTCAATAATATTTATAAGATTTTTTTTATTAAAAAATCGTGAACCTGGTAAAAGGCAAGAGAAGTTATATCATAAAAGTACAGAAAGCTGTATGAATGATAATTATCATCAAGAATTATTTGTATCAGTCACAAATTAAAGGTTTTGGAATAATATATTGATTAAAAAAGTCGTAAAAAAAACTGACGTCTTGCATTTTCAAAAAACCTTTCACGTTGAGGAAGTCCGTTCTATTCCGAACACGTTGTTGTTATTTTTCCGTTCCGACAAAATTCTAGCGGCATAGGACGCGCATTCGTTATCGTCGTATTCTTTATCCGTAGAGGAAAACAGAAGTAAGAATAAAATATCGTCGTCATTCTCTTTTTTCCACGTTCTTACAGGCAGAATATTCGGTTGTTGCCGGTATTTTTCGCCCACCGGAAATTACCGAAACTCGCCACATCCATCCCTCATATTCGGGATTTTACGTTTTTGTCGTAAACAATGTTTCATTAGCGCAACGCGGTTATCATTGGACTACAAACGACACGACGAGGACGACGCGTTCATCTACTATTCGTTTGAAGTCGTTACACGAGCTGCGGCGAATAGAAATTAATCAGAGTCGTTGGAAATCCTCGTTTGCCGTAGTTGTTTATTTCCACCAGCGGATTACATCGTGGTGCATGTTTCTCCAAAACAAAAAGAACAGTACTCCACAAATGAAGGTGTTTCTCACACACGTGTATTGTGCGAAAGATGGTCTCATGTGTATTATCTTGTATGAGATACTATAAATTTTCGGTAAATGTCTCGATCAGGAGACCCCTCTCCAGTGACTTTGACCTTGACATATGTTGTCAAGATCATGACTCTGAGTAACTCTTAACAGGTTTTAGCCGTAGCTCGTCCTTCGTTAAAAAGTTATTAACAATCATAGTTTTAACGTATGCTATACATGTATGATATTAAGTACCATTCTACACCTTTCCCTGTTCAGGAACGTTAAACTTTCCACGCGAAGTAACTTTCACCCCCCTCCCCTCGCTGCAAAGAGGTCACACGTCTTCCATGATTGTACTATTGCTATGATTGTACTGTTGGGGGAGACCTCTACCGACGGGGCGGGGCGGGAGGGGGGCGGGCCGTAGGTCCCCCCTCTTGCGTGGCCTCTTTGCAGCGAGAGGAGGGGGGCGAAATTTACTTTGCGTGGAAAGTTTAACGTTTCTGAACAGGGAAAGGTGTAGAATGGTACTTAATATAATACATTTATAGCAGAAATAATACGTTTATTTTAAAACAATGATTATTAGTAACTTTTTAACGAAGGACGAGCGACGGCAAAATCTGTTGGAGGTTACTCAGGGTCATGATCTTGACAACATATGTCAAGGTCAAAGTCATTGAAGAGGGGTCCCCTGATCGATACATTTACCAAATTTTCATATAAAAGTTAATCCTATGAATATTTTAGTCTAATAAGCACAGTGATAATCATTATTATGATAATCATTCATAGAAAATATTCATAAAAATTGCCAAAATTAATTTAAATAATTTAAGAAATAGAAATTTTATATAAAATACGCAGAAGAAAATACAGTTTTCTTGCAATTATACATTAAAATAATCCTATGAGATAGTTTTAATTATTTAAATTAAATAAAATGTATTTTGATCGTCAATCATAATCATTTTTTAAACTTGCGCAAGAATCAATTACAGTTCTTCCTAATTAACACTTGGCATTTAGAAAGAAGAATTATTCCTTATTAACAATGTTGTTAGGTGCAGTTTAATGAGAATCAATTTTCTGTCTATTGATTGCTGCAGCTGTGTATCGTAAACCCGATTTCGCACGCCGAATTTTTTTTGCGATCGATAAAAGACGATGCAGGAATTAACAATTGCGATGTTTTAATACAATTGTATCACTACACAGTCTGAGTGTCGCAACGAAAATTAGCGCGCAATTAAACTTACAGTTTCGTTCTATTATTAGACGTGACTCGTTTAAACATAAATTATCCAGCTCGATAATCTTCCGATGATTCGCATAATGCGAATGTCACTGTACGTTAATAAATGAAATAATTAGCGAATAAAATTATGTCTTCTCTCTCTCTCTCGCGTGCGTGCGTGCGTGCGTGCGTGCGTGCGTGCGTGCGTGCGTGCGTGCGTGCGTGCGTGCGTGTGAAAAAGAGAAAAAATATTAAAAATGAATGAAAAGGAACGTTAGTTTTATAACGTATTAAATTCATCAAGATCAAAAGAATTTCTTATTAAAAAGATTCGAAAAGTAAAGTGAAATAAAATAGCGAATTAAATTATGATATGCAAAAAATATTTTGAGATAATTTTATTAATCAAGACAGTTACTTTTTGCTTCAATGTAATATACAATTATTATTTAGAAAGAAGTTTTCTATAGTTTTATTTCTAGCGAAGTAAAAAGATCATACAAAAAATCATACAAAAGATCATGAATCATTAAACCGTACTTGTAAAATATAATTTCAAAGTATTTTTCTTTCTTAGTCTTGCAAGAAAACAATTCCTTTCTATGTAAGAACTTTATGCGAGATTTCGAATTAAGAATAAATAGAAGAATGAAAGTAGTAATTTGGTACAAATTTTAAATATATACATATATAATGTTATAAATCATTTCTGTTATCGATATATGAATATAACTGCCTAAGAAATTTAAAATTTCTAATGTCAAAATAATATTAATTAAGCTGTATATATGGTAAACACAATTAACACAAATACAAATTACGAGTTTAGGCCTCTTGGCATTTAATTATCCTATCATATTTTAATTTCTTGAAAATATTAAAAGATCTAAGTTAAGCAAAGTGATAATTCAAGGATCTTTTAATCGCAAAGTTCTCTTTAAGCCATTTTAGAGGTTTCTCATTTAATATTTAAAAGTGCAAAATGTAGTTATTTGCAGGTAAAGGACTGTTTGAAACGTCGTAATAAATTATTATCAGAGTATTATAGAGTCGGGTGCAGGGGACCACAAAGGGTGCGAGTTTAATCCAGTCAGAACTATGTTCTATCGATGGCAGTTCGTGGACCTGACCCAATTGGAACTACGTTTCGAACGGGGAGCACAGTCGTAATAAAACAGTTAGGTGACATGCCTGACGGTCCACGTCGGGCAAGGTTAAGCGCCGACCCTCGCGTCGAGCTTATAAATAACTATACGATATTTTCCTGCTTTTCGGTTTGCCTCCCTCTCTCTCTCTCTCTCTCTCTCTCTCTCTCTCTCGCTTTCTCTCTCGCACTCTCGCTCTCTCTTTCTTGCATAGTCACGACACCCCGGCCGAGAAAAGCTCGCACGATCTCTTCTCAAACGCGCTTAGCTTCTCAATCTAATTAGGAAATACGATAATTGGGTCGTACCCAGAAGGAAACGGTCGAGTCCTGACATGAGAATCTCCTTTATCCGTCTTAAAAAATACATTTCTCGCGTGACAGATCTAATTTGTCGGCTAAGATGTCTCCGATGGTTTCATTTCATTGTTCGATCTTCGTATCTTCACAAGAATGATAATTTATGAGAGCGATGATCGTACTTATGTGCGTTTGATGCGTGTAAGAAATATGTTTAATATGTACGTATATAGGTATGTACAAAATGTGAGGAATTTTGGAAACACATCTGAAACACACATCGTGTCGAGTTTCTGGTATATTTAAAGGTTTATCGACTACATTTATTTTGCATTTATACGGAAAGAATGGTTTTGCTCAAATTAAATTTTTCTAGATGCAGAGATCCGAAAATAATTTTGTTGGATCATCAAAATAATTATGTAAAAATCTTGAATGTTGAAATTGGTTGCTAAAATGTCAAAACTTTTTGCAGCTTTGCTCTTCATGAGATTTCTACGTAATTATTTTAATGATTCAATAAAATTATTTTTAGATATATATCTAGCTAAATTTTTAGATACTTTCATAAAATTGTCCTTTCCACATGTGTGTGTGTGTACGC